GAAATAGCATCCGAGACTGTTTAGCTTCAGCGGTTTCCACTCCTCTCTGCAACAGCTTCAGCAACTGTTACCAAGAGGCCACAGACGTGAGGATAAGTTAAAGGGGAAGGAGGAAGGAGATCCTCACTCCCACAGCAGGCCCTGTGCCCTACACCAGCCCCTCTGCGTCTAGTCAAAGACACAGCCTGGATGCAGAGCACGTGGGCAGCCGCACAGCACAGGTGCCCCACCAGCATGGGAAAGACCCCACCTGAGACCACGCTGGCCTCATGGGGATGCCAACTTTATCCTTGCCCTATCTCCCAACCACCCAACCTCTGACAAGACACAGGAGCAGGAACAAGAGGACCACCAGCCTGATGGGAACCTGCCAGAAAGCAGCACAGATGGAGGAACTAGAATATTTCTGAAGGGACAGTGGTGAGAGATGGGTGGGGAGGAATGTCTCCCACCAAGAAAAATTACCTCCAACATGAGTAAAAGCCTGGGTAGTGTGGAGTACACAAGCACACGGAGGGGGAGAATGACGAATCTTGGGGAAAAGGTCAGAAAGTTGATTACAAAATGCTGAGGAGTGATGATGGGCTGGAAGCTGATGAGCAATGTGCTCTGGAAAGTGACATCTTGCTGTACACAGAAGAGGGGTTACAGTGGTGCTGAGTGGGTAGCTATGCTCTGGGCTAAGGGGATGTGCAGATCAGATGGGTGACTGCAAGGCAGCAGGTATTGCAGGACTAGAAAGAGGTAAAAGACTGTGTTGGCATAGATAGGAGCACACAGTGAAATCAGGAGATGTCACAGTATCTAAACTCATTATCATTGCACAGCAGCAGAGAAGCCATATTAGGGACTGCACTGGACAGTACTGGAGCCAGACAACAAAAAGACACCAAGGATATTTGGAAGTGAAGTGTTGTAAAAGCTGCCAAATCATTCTGCAGCCATTCAGTCCTATGAGGAGGGATGCTCTGGAATGGCCTTGATCAGAGCAGAGAGAAGCAGATTTACTTTTGAAAGCGGAGACTTTCACAACAGTCAAATCAGTCTTAGCAATAAGCAATTATGCTCCTCTGAGCTCCTTGTCCATGAAAATCACACACAGGAAGCCTTTCTGACAGACACCGAAGGGCTCTCAGGTGGAACTGGCTTGGCCTGGGTTCTGCACCTCTGCTCTGGAACAAAACTGGCATCACCTCCCCATTATCCCTATATCCCACAGCCACAGGCCAGTCTCTTCCAACAGACCTGCCAGGGGGAGGAAATGACCCTAATCCCAGTACTGGCAAAACAATATTTCCATCATTTATAGTTGCTAAGCACAACGATTCTGTGCTTTTAAGGTGCAGCCACTCCAAAAGATTCATCTTCCAGAGCCTCTCATCAGTCTTTCTCCCTAAATGTCTGGTGCCCAAATTTTACCAGAAGTTGCCTGGCTATGCTCTGCATGCATACTGTAGAGTTTGAGAGTAGTTGAACCAGCTATCTTTCCTTGTGCTAGTAACAGCCCTGCAGAGAAAATGACAATGGTGGGGTAGGGAACATACACATTTTGCATTCATTTTCCATGCCTGACACCTTTTCACTTTCAGAACCTTGTTCAAGCAGGGAAGATGAGAATAGAGGTAGGAGAGACTCTCATTCATATCTCATCACCCATTCTTATGCACACAGCTTTTCCCAACTGATCCAAAGAGTCCATGTGGAACAGCCCTACCTGTGTTACCTCCACTGTCTCCCCAAAGACTTAGTCTACAAACTTGCTGGTGAGCATTTCCAGGAGTCATGGTAAATATTTCTTTGTGCAGCCTCTCCCACTGCTACTACTCGTGTTGTCCCAAGAAACCCACACCAACCTCTTGCATACAACACTGCAGAGAATGAATGATCACCTCCCAGCATCACTCAGGCAAACCACTGTGGCTGAGATCACAAAGCCAGCATCTGCTGACTACTCATCATTTTTATCCCAGTGATCCCTGATAGATACACAGATTCACCCTAGGATTTGACAGGGCAACTCACTGGTCAGCATATATGATTCTTTTCCTGTGTCACATCAGCACACACGCCACTTGCCTTGAAATCCACCCATTAGCTCATGCAGCAGAGCTACAGGCTGCAGATCCCAGTCTCCAGCCATGATGCTGGCCTAGAATGGGAGTTCCCCCACCAGCAGGGTGTCACACAAGCCTGCACGGTGATAACAGAGCCGTGGCCAACCGCTGTAAATCCACCTCACAAGCCCTCTGCCTTTGCTCAAACATCAGTCCCGTTGGCATGCTCTCCATTTACGCCAGTTTTCCCACACAACCACTTCATTTGTCAAACAACCAAGCCTCCGGTAAGATTCTCAGGAGTAGGTCACATCAGAAGGCAGACTAGTTCTAACTGGCTGAAGAGACAATGCTTCTATACACGGAATTGGCTTTTTTTTGATCTTCATGCCCTTTTGCAAGCTCTTGCCTAATTTGTCAGCTTGTCACATTCCTCCCTAGGTATCTCTGTATTTCCAGTTGCTATTTTCCCCATTTGTCCTGCACAGATCCAAACTGTATGTAATTACTTCTTGTTTAGACCTGAGATTCATCTGAGAAGCCTACTCATGCACCTGACGAGGGAACAGGAAGTCTTATCACTGTATTTGAGAGCAGCAGGGTTAAGCCTGGGCCCCCTGGGAGGGTTCCCTCATCATCATTTTCTCTTCTATTTGAATTCATCTGCAAGTTCCCAGGTGCGCTGCTGGCCCCAAGGGGGAAGGTTTCAGGATCCCCCTTTGCATTCCCCTCTGCTCTGACACTCCACCTTGCCCTCCTGCCATCTGTATTTCAACTAAGTATATTGTATTAAAAATGTACTGAGGATGTAGCTACACTGGCATTAAATTTGTTCCTGAAGTAACCCTGTTTAATCCTCTGGGCTCCAACAAAGACAACTTTGGTGCATTAGGTTCCCTGAATCATTTTGCTTTTAAATACCTTCATTTAGCATTTACCTCTGCTTTTAATACTGCCCAGTTTCACCAGCTCCTTTATTTTTATATGTGTCATTCTCTTCACTTTTCTCTTTTATGATCATTCTCTTTCTCTCATTAGCATTTCCTCTCTATCCCTTTCTTCCCATTTCTACCTTTTTCCCCTCCCTCTCTCTGTCTCTTTAAAATTAAATATTGCCCAGCACTGCCCATGTGGGTGAAGTGAATGCTAAGAGGGAAGGCTGCTGTGCAGACTGGATTCGAGCTGCCCCGCTGGGAATCAATGAGGCATGGAGTGCTCGTGTAGCTCCCAAAAAGCCTGAAGAAACCAGGGTGTATCAGTGGCAGCTGAACACACACTTGAGAGATAAGAAGAGGGCTCAGCTCTGACTGCCTGGCTCAGCCTGAGAGATCCCACACAAACTGAGCCAGGGCTGTGGGCATTTAACAGAGGCTAACCTCAGGGTGGCTTTCCGTGGCTTCTGCAAAGAGGAGATGGCCAGGAGGAGGCCCATGGAGCAGCAGGGGTCTGCAGGGAGCAGCCAGCCAGCCCTGCTCCATCTATCCACTGAGCTATGAAACATAGCTGGTACCAGCCATGCTACAATGATGCAGCACTGAGAGAGGAAGCCTGACATTAACACTGCCATCAAACTGCAGGGAAATATTACTTTTCATTCCTGACTAGACAATACCTAGGCCCTAAAACTACACATAGACAGACTCTCCCCATCCAAATTTGCCCATAATATATTATTAGGAGCAAATATATTATCAGGTGCAAAACGGAGACCTTATAGCACCTTCCAGTACCTGAAGCTGGGGGGGACTTTTTACAAGAGCCTGTAGTGACAGGACAGGGGGTAACGGGTTTAAATTGAAAGAGGGGAGATTTAGATTAGATATCAGGAAAAAATTCTTCATGTAGAGGGTGGGGAGGCACTGGAACAGGTTGCCCAGAGAAGCTGTGGATGCCCCATCCCTGGAAGTGTTCAAGGCCAGGCTGGATGAGGCTTTGAGCAACCTGGTCTAGTGGAAGGTGTCCCTGCCCATGGCAGGGGGGTTGGAACTAGATGGTCTTTAAGGTCCCTTCCAACCTAAACCACTCTATGATTCTACTTCACTTACCCCATCATGTTACCCCCATATCTCCTCACCACACAGTCCCAGAACACCCCAAAACACACGCCCACACTGCTTCTATTCTTCAGCCTCCTGTCTTCCTCTCCCTCACACCCACCTTCTATCCCACTGCCTTTGCACACTGTTGCCTTCTGCCTCCCCCTCAGTACATCAGTTGTGACCCTCAAAATACCTCTCCTCAACCCGGGTTGGAGTGTGAGGGGACCTCTTCTTGTAAGGGACAAGATGCAAAGCAGCAGAATGACCTCTCTAAATACTGGGGTTACTTCCCTTACAGCAGGCACCCACCTCTGATCTCAGTGCTGTGGGCTGCTGAGGGTTAATGGTGACACAGACTCCTGGGCTACTGTATTACCTGACTGCAAGCACCAAAAGTGATTTATGCTATTATTTTCTTTGGGGGTTAATTAGGGGCTTGAGAAAGTAAAAGGCTGTCAGTTCTAGCTGGAATTGGTCTAGTGCAGCCAGGGGAGAGCAGTCGTTCCTCACAGAGCCCTGCTAATAAATCTTTGTCCTGAATATCAGTACCTCCATCTCCCACTCCTCAGTGTGGCAGACGGCTCTCCATCCTGACCTCCAGCAATCCTGTTACTCTTGGCATAACCTCTGGGGTACACTGCTCGGCTGAGCCCTGCCATTTCCACCTGGCAGCCCTCACACCCTCAACTTCTGTTATTTTCTCCTTTCCGAAGCTTGCCAACAATGCTCGTCAACAGACAGGGAAAATTCGCATGGCATTCTCCCAGGAGCAGGGAGAAGATATGTCCCCTTGGTGTCTCTTGCAACTGAGAACTACCAGGGACCTCCTAGCTCCTGTTTTCCTTCATCTAGCTGCCCAGGGCTCACTGAGGCCTGAGAAGCCAGCACAGGCTACGGCTGCCCATACCTCTTTGCCCAGATCCTCGCGGATGACTTGCTCAATCTCCTGCCGGGTGCTCTGCGGGGCCTGGCTGTGCAGCACTTTGAGGGTGCGGGTGTACTCCTCGGGCAGCAGGTAGTCAAGTGCTCCCAGGTGCTGTCCCACCTTGATGAAGGTGCCTCGGTTGGCGCAGCACAGCTCCCGCAAGCGCTCAGCAGAGCGCAGGTGCACCTGCGGAGAGACCAGAACGTCAGCCAAGCCCTTCTGCTGTCTGTCACATGAGCACACCCACATCCATACCTTTTATTTGTTCAGTATTTAAACAGACCAGGAATTCCCTTTCTTGATTGGGGCATCATCATCTAATGTGTCAGATAAGTATTAGGACTCTGACTTGATTTAGAGCGGGCTGAACCAGACCAGGACAAGATGCTCCAGAGTATAAGGGACTTCGACACTTATTTGGACAGGCACCATGACCATTGACAGCACATCAGTGTTTGGCTCTGCGCAGGGCTACAGCCCTGCACAGAATAAGATGCGTAGACCTAGGGCAGCTTTGATATGTCACTGTGATCTCCCACCACAATGCACAGTTTAGGAACCTATTGTCAAAAGATACAAGTCAGGACCACAACCATGGATGTTAGGCTTTTAGTATGAGTGCGATGAATTAAAGTGGGAAGAAAACCACAGGTACCATAGAATCATAGAATGGTTAGGGTTGGTCAGAAACTTCCAGGAACTTGGAAGAAAACTCTGCTAAAAATCAAAACTACAGATGTCTATTTGGCAGTGAGGACAGTATGTGGGTAGTCCTTCATCCTCCTCAGCTCACTCTGACACAGCACAAGGGGAAATCACATCCCTCCAGTCCAGCCAAGTCTTGGTCTTACTGCTTACCTTACCAACGAAGTCTGCAGGGACAGTGGGTTTAGAAACTAGGAGAAGACTTGCCAGCTTTGCTCACATTGGCCAAAATACAGCCACCAAATGACAAAACTCATCACCAACCACTTGCTTGGTCTGGATTTCAGATTCCAAGGTTCATTCCGCCTCTCAAGAGCAGACCAGCCACCACATCCTTCACTGACAATGATTTATTCTGCCTTTATTACTCTTACTAGAAAAGCCTCCTGCCAAGGACATAGCTATATTCAATATTCTTTAATAAACTTCAGAGAAGTTTACCCTGGTACGTTAATAAAATCTAAGTAAATCAATGACAAAAAATAACTCCGCACCCATTTCCTGTTAATGCCTGAAACTTTTCTGTATGGAGACTCTTAATTCCTCTGGCTTCTGTGTCAGAAGTCATTGAAGGAAAAGGACTTGGGGGTACTG